CACTTTTACAAAAGTAGGATAAATGATGTACTAAGAATGCCTTGTGAGGTATATGAAAACATATTTCACTGTCATTATTGTCCTGGTAAAATAGATGTGGCAACATTGCAAGTAAAGTTGTAGGATTCTACTAAACGATGTTACTAAGGCACATTGCATATCTGGGGAAGCAGCCCAAACCAGTTCCTCACAGACAAAGGCAAACTGATGCTGTAGCCAGGTGTCAACAAAATCAGATGGACTATTGCCTGGTTGAGAGGCCATTCTTCGACAGGAAGCCGGGTGTGAGCTGAAGATTCCCATATAAAGAGACCTGCTGTCACTTGACCCCCGCTGGAGATTATTCTCAAAGAGGAGGAAGAGATAAAAATGAGGATCAGGGGACACTCATCAACAACATTTGAAGGATCAAAGGAGCATCATTGAACCGGGGGAATGGTCCTGGCTGAAAAATCCATCCAGACTGCTGTGAGCATGTGATGAGAAAAACGTCTTTGCTTCAGGTTCACTTTGCTTGTTAAGTGAGATGTTGGTTACATTTTACCTTTTATTTCTTTGTACCAATTCTTACTTTTATGCTTCATTACTTGTAATCACTTAAAATCTCGCTTTTTGTAGCTAATAAACGTGTTTTATCTCAACCAGTGTGTGTTTGGATTGAAGTGTTTGGAAACCTCCATTTGAGATGATAGGATTTGTGCAAATCATTTTTTATTAATGAAATGGCAGTCCTTCTATGCGCTTGTACTGCACGGAAGGGAAGAGCTGGGCAGTACAAGATACTCATTTCAAGGAAGAAGTCAGAGCTTGAGAATTTGCTGGTGTCATTCAGCAACATAGTTCATGAGTGACCATCTAGAGTCGTCACATCATTCAGCTAGGAGTGATTTTGCATGCTACAAGTTGTGTGAGAGCGGGCCAGGAGTGGTTGCTCATACAGCAAAGACGTATAAAAGGCATGCCAGGCTGAAGAATAGAAGGGACACAGCTGTTCAACCATCCAGATTGCACACTGGAGGATATGACAGTCTTTCATCCAATTACTTGGTATGTTCTCTTGAGGTGTCAGCTGGATATGAAATTTCTCACTTCAGGTCCTAAAACATTGCATGTAAATGGTACAATAGTTATAAATCTGTAGCTGTACAGAGCATGTCCGTGATTGATGGGAAAGGAATTTACAATATTCAGAACCAAAAATCCCCCAACAAACAGATTACTACCACTCAGCTAAAAGAATCTCTATCAACTGATACCAGCATGAAGGCTTTTTTTCTTTGTAGTTGAACAACTAAGGGTGACCAGATCACCTGCACTTTGAACAGGTCTGATGTTGCAGCCAGGTGGGTACAGTCATACACACATACTCCAGCTAGCAAGCTGTGCTCTGCCCTGTCAAACAGCTGCCAAGACTTACTGCAGAGGTGATTGTTTTTCAGAGGGAGAAAACTGATCTGAATATTTGTAAAGCTGGTTGCATCATTTTTAGGATGCAAATTGCTACCTTTACATGTAAGTAAGGTACAGTTTATTATCATTATTCATTTTTTGGACTGTTACTTCCACCGATATACACAGCTGATGTGATAATAAGCATCTTCCTCCCAAGGAACTCAGCAAGGTAGGGAACTATTAATTAAGCAATTTAATGGGATGGAGAAACTGAAGCACAGAGTGTTTATGGAACTTGCCCAAAATTACACCAATTCAGGACTTCTAGTCATCCACTCTGACCTCTAGGCCACAATACCACCCACAAAAGATACAGACTTAATGTCACAAAAACATCTCTCCAAATGCTAATCTATCACTGAACATTGTTTTGTCACTTTGTGTGTGCACAGTGCATTCCCTGCTGTCGGGATAGAAGATGGATTTCACTGAACACTGGCTTTCTGTTCCTCACTCTGGTCTGCGGGGATCAGCAAAATGTGTACAATTATTACATATTTTCTGGCACATTTGCAAAGGAGGAAGAAAGAGCAGAATTGAGAGAAATTACAGTCCGTGAAAGTACCAAGTTTGATAAGGGAAAATAAAGCAGCCCATCCTCTGTAAACACAATCTGTGTTGCAATGCTGCAGCCCAGCTGGGTTTCATAACCTTACATGGGAAAAGAAAGATCATATTTAAAAAAAAAGGTTGTGGTGTAGAATTATGAACTCTTGTTAGCTTCATTTGTAAACATCATGCTCTTATGGTCTTTTGGCCTGGTATGCTCATTCGCTTCCTGTTCTTCTACCTAAATTATTATTATTTATATGGGAATTGCACCTAGATGTCCTAACTGACATCAGGGTTGTACTGTGCTAGGCATGGTACACACACAAAGGGAGAAACAGGCCTTGCCCTGAAGCCTTTATGGACTAAATAGATGAGACAAAGGAAGGAGAATTATCTCAATTTTACAGATGGGAAAACTGGAGCAGAGAGAGATTAAGTGATTTTGCCCAAAGACAAAAAATTCTGTGGCTCAGACTGGAACAGAATACAGATTACCTGACTCTCCGCCCAGTACCTTAACCACAATGCCTCTCTTCCTCTTAGATCAGCCATCTTGCACATAAAGATACATCCAGCCACAATCTTCTAAAGAGTCAATACAGCTGGGGGCGCTAGAGGGGAGCACTTAGATTGGCTGGTCCAACTTCTTCTAGTATCAAACCAAAAGGGTTCTAGGCTAATCTCCGCATAACCCCTGCTTCATTTGCACTTTCAAAATATCTAATTTACATCCCTCTGCCGACAGAGGGGTGTAGTTTAGACATAGCCATACTGTCTCACTCCTGATCCTTTTCCCTTTTGGGCTGCACCTTCCTTTGCTAAATGCTCTCTCTGTGAAACAGCTGTGATTATGGTACCTCTCATAGCCAAAGGTGAAAGGAAACTGGTGCGCCCCCATGTGGTGCACCAGTAAGAAAGTATACAGCTGGGAGCAGGGCTCTGAGCCAGCCCTCTTAGGAGTATTGTCATATGGAACCCGTCACACACACACACACCAAACACCTGCCCTGAGCCTCCCCCTACAACACTACCTGTAAGAAATTTAAGTTACTTTCACTCCTGCTATTGATGTTGGGAATGTGGAAATTACTAATAGGTCCCTTTAGCCCACTCTTCTCTCTGACAGCAACAAATGCTAGACAGGAATTTAAAATATAAAAAGATTGCGCAATGGAGGCATTTTTTTCCTGATTTGATCTGGTAACCAGCTTTGTCCTACTGCATGAGGCTTAAAAGCCTTTTTTAATGTTTATCCTGGCAACAAATGTTAATCTTCATTTATGTCTATCTGGATCCTTCACTGGTGGTGGGTAGTTGATTGAGAAATGTAACCATTCATATTGACATATGTACAGAAAACATAGAGATTGCCAGAGTCTGTTTTCAGTTCTAAAAGTGTAAAGATGGGTAACTCCATCAAAGTCAGAAAAGTCATTCCATGTTTACAAAGGGAAATAATCAGAACAGAACTTGGCCCATATTTTGTGTAGGTTTTACTTTGTAAGAATAAACTCTGAGCAAGGGAGTTGGCAATTCAGAAATAATGATCCAAAGAAACATCCTGGGATAGCGCTTGCTTGAAAGGTTTCAGCAGAATCCTGGCAAATCCTCTTTTCAGCCGCTTTGTGTAGTTCAGGGCTAGTCCAAAGAGTACATCTTTTATTCCCCCTCTGTAGTCTCTTGAGGGCAACCACTCCTGGCTCCTCAGCCACCACCTCTCTGGTTGGACAACCAGGTCTTTTCCCCTTCTGATCAAGATTTTTCCAGATTGCACTGTTCCTTGCCTAGACTATTATATCCCCAGCAAGCCCAGACTGTCTCAACAGGCCAGCTTCCGAGCTGGAATGTGCTTGAAGTCTATGCACAGCCATATTTGCCAGCAGTTATAAGTCACCACTGAGATGTCTAGCAAACGGTTAGCGCTATGAGGAATGCTCCATAGACATGTGTTAGCAAGGAACTGGAAACTGAGGGCACTGTTTGAAATCCTAGGACAGTGGTCACCAACCAGTAGATCGGGATCTACTGGTATATCTTGGAGCCTCTGACAGGTGATCCTGACTGGTTTCGTTGGGAGGCTATCAAGTGCTGGCACTTCAGATGCCCTTTCCCCCCGCTGCTCATGCCCAGAGCCTCAGAGCTGCCCTGCTGGGAGCCTCCTGCTTGTTGTGCAGAGTGGGGGAAACAGAGGCAGGAGGGCATTGGTGGCACTCTGTCCCCCTCCTCTGTCCCCCATCTTCACAGAGTGAGGAGGGTGGGGCCGTGGCAAAGGGGTGAAGCAGGGGTATTTGGGTTTGAGGTAGATCCTGGACTGAATTAAATTCAAAAAGTGATCTTGTGCTTAAAAAGGTTGGAGACCACTGTCTTAGCATGTGGGCAGGTGCAAGCCTGCCCACTTCTAAAGGCCCTTCCCCCAGCCTTGTGGGAGGGACCACTGGACCTGGTTTCGACAGTTTTCTTGCCAACCAATGAAAAACAGGGTGAGGGGTGCAGTGAAACTTAGGGCAAATATTAAAGCAGGGGACAGAGATTCCTTGCCCACAAATGGCATCTATATTGGAATGAAAGTCACAAGAAATAGCAGCTGGGAGGGAGCCTAATGGGGGATCCACTAGGGATCTTTCTGTGTCAAGGCCAGGAGAAAATGGAACAAAAATAAGGATGAGGACAGGTAAATAGAGGGTTTATTTCCATTCACAGTCCATTCCAAAGCATCTCATGATCGGGCCCACGGGCAGCCTATTGACTATCCCCTAGAGCTGGGGCCGCTCTGCCCAGGCTAGGAGGGGTGGAAGGAGGCAGGCAGCTACCCTAGAGACAAGAAAGGAGCAGGGAGCCTGTCGTGAGGGGAGATCCCGCCCCCGAGGTGCTGGGAAGCGGCTGGAGAGCGGGAGGGCTCTAGGGACCGGGGAGCAGCTGCGGGGCTGGGGAGAGGGGTGATCCCGCCCCCAGGGGCTTGGGGAGCGGCTCGCCCGCCCGGTCCTGGGCGGAGCTCTGGTCTCTCCAGCTGCAGCCTCTGCGCGCCCGAGAGCTAGAGCGCAGCGGCCGCGGAGCATGGAGCCGGCAGCGCCCTGAGCCCCTTCCCCGGCGGCAGCATGAGCTTCCCGCGACCCCTGCGGCGCTCGGTGAGCCTGAGCCCGGCCCGCACGCTGCGGCTGGTGGTGCTGGGACAGGGCGCCGTGGGCAAAACAGGTAGGGACGCTGCCGGGGCTGGCAGCCCCAGGGCCCGAGTCTGTGACCCCCGCCCGGCAGGGCAGCGCCAGCCGCCTCGCCCAGCAGCTTCCCCGGGGGCGGGAGCGAAGGGCCAGGTGGGGAGAAGGCGCCGGCTGCCCGCGTCCCTGCCCTGCCCGGACCCACGAGCAGGCGGCTTCCCCCGCCCCCGCGCTGCCGGGGGGCCCTGGGTTTGCAACAGCCCCCTCCCGCCTGCTCCGTAGCATCTTCCTGCTGCGGCCAGCGGGTGTGTTATGGGCTCCCCGGCCAGACACATGCGCTGGGGGGGTGGGACAGGTCGCTCCCCGAGGGCTGGCTGCTTGCCGTGCCCTTCGCAACGGGAGCATGGGGCGGGCGGGCAGCCCTGGGGGCCACAGCAAGTCTCTGCGCAGCAGCGTGGCGTGAAGGGAGCGGGGCTGCAGGCAACAGACCCCAGGCTGCTGGAGGCGCTGAGCGTCCCCTCGTTCTACTGGGAGGGAGGCGTTTTATCCCGTCAGCATCCGCCTGCAAAAATGCTCCTTACAGACCAGCGGGGCTTAGTCGAGACTCCTAGGTCAGCGGGGTTATCTGGGGAAAATGCAAAAGCCAGTTTAAACTCTGCATTTCCTGCCCGTGGTTAGTACATTAAAGGAAACAAGCCATTAACGCCCTCTCGTTAAAAGTTTGAGGGTGTTTTTTTAAAAGTTGAACGACTTTGACTGCACTTTTAAGTGACTTTCTTTAAGACTGGGAGTAAGGACTTGTTCGTCTCGTCTTTGTTGCACCACTACTTGCTGTAACTTTAAACAAGCCAGCTCGCTCTCCTCCACCCCAATTTGTCCATCTTTGTCAGTTTAGATTGGAATCTATTTGAGTCAAAGACCATCTTCTACTATGTGCTTGTACAGCAGTTGGCACAATGGGGTGAGAACCTGTATAGGAGCTTCTAGTACTACCAATAATGGGGTATGCTGGTATATTACTGGGGGTAAGTGGTGTTGGCAATTGAAATGCAAATTTCCACATTAAACCCCCGGAGAGTAGTGTGATCATTTTGGAGTGAGGGAGTGTTTTAAAGAACACTTCCCCTCCATTTATTTGCCCACTCCAGAAATATACTCCAGATATGTTTCCCCTGTCTGCTTCACAGCCAATATGGAGACTTTGCTTTGGTTGCAGATGTTGTGTTAGTTGTGCATTCCCACTGAATTTATTCCTTTGTAAACTGGTGAATTCCTTTGTAAACTGGTGTCAGTGGGGGAAAAAAAATCACAATTTTTTGAAATTTTTTTTAAAGGAAGTGAAATAATCTCTTGGCGTTACCATTTTCACTTAGTTTATGATTTTTTTAAAATTTTGTTTTATTTCAGCATATAAACATGAAAAGATCACCAAGCACAGGCTTGGCAGGTAATGGAAAGAGAATTAAAAATGCAATCCATCTCAAACAAAACCAAAAAACCCTGCAATTGCAAAGCAACAGTCTTTCTTCACACAGAAAAGAAGGCAAACCGCACCGCCTTCACTTCTGCTCCTGTAAAATACTAATTCTCCCACCAAATAAATAATCACGCTGCTCAGATAGACAAGCGCTGCAGAGTCAACACCACATTTAGGCTTTTTCAGACCAGGAAAAGGAAGGAATACTAAATTGGAGGGGACCTCATAGGAAAACATCCCACCAGCAGCCCTTATTATAGGACACAGTTGCAACAAAGACAGCACCTGAATGTGGCTCTCACATGGGTGTGTTAGGTGTCAAAAGCCCCCAACACAGACGTTTCATGTGGGCAGAGCATGACAAGACCTTGTGTAGGTGAAGGGATCCTCCCACACCCAGCTGCTTGTAGAATCGGGACCTATGTGTGGTATCTCGGCCAGGGCTGAGTAATTGGAAGTGGGAAGAGCAGATGGAACAGTCGATGATACAGTCACATGAGCTGTTTCATGCAGAAGAATGCTGGTAAGAAAACCCCACAAACAAACAGTTGGTAAATCTCATAACCTCAAAGCTGAATATATATTGGTCCGTCATGCACTTTAACTCATCAGCCATAACGCATAATCAAAGTGTTGTAGAGAGAACATATTTTGATTGTAATTATAGGTGATGATTTCCATTTGAATTGACCCTGAAATGAATTATATCCCTCTCTAAAATGACTGTGGGGTTGTTTAAAAGTCTCAGGGGGCAGCTGTGTGTGTTAGTAACTTTAGAAACAACTTTAAAAAAACCCGAGAAGTGCTGTGGCACCTTAGAAACTAACAAAAATATATATAGTACCATGAGCTTTCATGGGCAAAACCCACTTCTTGTTTGTTTTAAAAGATGCAAGTGTGCTAATGCACTTGACAAGGCTTTTGGCCTTGTCCACACGGGGGATTTCCCCTGATTGTAGTAATCACTGACTAGACATCTGCATAGCAACAGCAGTGCAAAGCAAGAGTATGTCTACATTGTAGCTGGGAGTGAACCTCCTGGCCTGGGTATACAGCAGGGGTGGGAAACCTCAGGCCCAGGGGCTGGATGCGGGCCCCAGCTTGCTTGGATCCGGCCCCTGAGGCTCAGCATTGGGGAGTTCACACTGGTGCTCCAGCCCTCCTGCCACCCACTCGCAGTGCTGGAGCATACAAATTCTACTAGCCTGGACCCCCCAGGCTCTGGTGTCCAAGGGGAATGTGGGGAGCGCCTTTCTCCTTCTCAGGTAGGGCTTTCTCACTTTGCTTCTTACATGTGTGCAGCCCCTGACTGATTTTTCTGTGGGTTAGTGGCCCCTGACCCAAAAAAGGTTCCCCACCCCTCCTCTATAGGCTCAAGGCTTGCACAAACATGGTAAAAATGGCTGCTGTGTTGTGGCACTCTTCCCTCCACTACCCTTATTTCTTGTGAAGCTGGAGTAAGAAGTCCTCCAGTTCGACATTATTTCATAATAAAGGCTTGTAGTGTAGACGTGCACTATGTTATTTCGAAATAACGCTACTGTGTAGACGTACCCATAGACTATTATTATTTATTTTTGTATTACAGAAATATTCTGAGGCCCTAGGTGAGATCTAAGCCTCGTACTTACTGCAGTACTGAGAGACAGGCTGTGCCTCGAACATTTTATAAATCTAAAAATGGATAAAACTGTCAGTTGTCCCCATGTTGCAGATAAGGAACTGAGGCAGAGACTCAATAATTTGCTGTTGGTTACAAAGGAAGTATATAGCAGTGCTGGGATTTGAACCTAGGGTTCTTGAGTCTAGTGCTGTCCTCTCTTGTTCTGATTTTTAAACATGCCCCTGTATTGTTTTTAACTCACACATGTGTGCATAGTTAGTGCATGAAAACCAGAGTCTAAGTAGTTTTTGTTATCCAAGCTGAAAAAAATGTAAAAGTGAAACAAGCCCCACAAATGAGGAAGAATAAATTTTAAAGACAAGGTGGGTGAGGTATAAGATCTTTTACTGCACCAACTTCTGTTGGTGAAAGAGATGAGCTTTCAAACTGCACAGAGCTCTTCAGTGGCCCTATCTAGCTGAAAAGCTTGGCTCGTTCACTAACAGAAGCTGGTCTAATGCAAGATATTACCTCCCCCACCTTGCCTCTCTCATATTCTGGGACCAACATGGCTACAACACTGCAAATAAAAAATGAATTAGATTTTTTTTCAAATCTCCTTGGTTTAAATCAAATAATGTGCTGCTACTAACAGCTCCTCTCCACATCTCCCTTCCCCTCAGTCCGCTTTGTATATTGACAGCTGTGTCCTGTTAACGATCCTTTTGGAATTAGACAGTTAAATTAGAGGTCAGCTTCAGAGAGCTATGAAGGACACTCTGCGTGAATCCCTTCCACGTGTAGCGGCAATTAAAATCTTGAAAGGTGGCTAAAGACGCATTTACAAAAGTAACCCGCTTTTTGAAAATAATTTAACTGCCAACCCTTTGAAGTGGTTGACTGGAAATCCTCAACAGGTGTCAGTGCTCACAACAAAACACTGTGACCAGGACAAAACCATGTTCAAAGCCATTGCAGGAAGTAGGTCTGGATCTGAGAATCATCAAAGTTGAGCTGATTTAGGTCAGGCTTATGCAGTTCAATATCCAAACTTTAAACTACAGATAAGTCACCTCATAAATCCAGAATATCCAAATCCTTTATGTTTGCTTCCCTCTCCCACTCCACACTGTAGCATCTAAGGTCAAATTTTGACACTAGCCAATGTAACCACAGTGATATATCACAGGAAAGAAGGGTCTGTTTATTAAGGATTAATACATGATTAAGACATGTCACAATCATGTTGCTGCTGACATGAATAGCATGTGATATAAAGGGCTATATGCACATTGGTAGGTAACATTATAAATGGCTATAAAGTATTATTACAAGCCATAATTTATTAACCATTTATATACGGAACCCTAATATAAAGTGTGACCATGTCCACTTTTTAATTCCTCCTTTCTGAAAGGTCAAGATGAACAAAAAAGTTCTTAATGTTGATTTTCATATTGTCACGCCTCTCTGCCCTCATCCCACTTCCTTGTATTGGCAGCTTCTGTTGTGTTCTTGTACCCAAGCCAATTTTTAATCAATTTAATTGGTTCTCCATCTTAATACAGTACCACATGTTGCAGCTTTGGGAGATTGCCTAGAGCGTGCTACAATATCAGGTGGTCCCTAGAAATCAGGTTTGATTTGTTCCGCCGTCTCACCCTTTCTCTGACAAATCAATAATGTCTTTCAAGAGGAAAATAAATACCTGATGCAGGATCTAGCTTTCAGGGAGCTCTGCTGGACAGTTTTTATTAAGCTATAGTGTTTTTCTGCCTATTTTGGTTGCTTGTCAATACTTAAAACACAGGGAAAATGAAACCAGGGACCTGTAAAATTCCTTGGATTTTTCCATTTATTATTTAATAAGTAATAGAGAGTAACTGTGACAGATGACCAAAGTTTATGGAATCCCCAGAAAAATTATTTAGATTATTAAAAATGTGTCTCAGAACACTGA